AGGAAATTAGACTTTTTAGAGAACACTCAAAAGGCAGACGAAGGCACTTGCATCCGAATTTGTACTCACAAATCTCAAACCAACCCCGTTGCCATAGCGAATCACATAAACATATGGTTGCTTTAAAACGTTGCTTCACAATGCTGATTCTGCTCAGCGCGACTGCTGTCTACACTGACTGTCTACATTCTCCATCACTGTTTTGGCTCGGGCTTGTGACGCAACCCTGGTTGCTGAGACGGCAACGACACTCTGCTGGAGCCTTCTGGAAATGTTTTGCTGTCTTATAAAAGGAAACACCGACAGGGAGTTGCCCCTTTCCTTGCCATCTCTGACTGTTACAACGTGGATCCCCGTGGCCCTTCTAGTGGCTGGGGCCACCTTGGGACCACGAGGGACAGGCGAGAGTATTTCTGAGAAGTGGCTCTAGGTCCTAGCATCACCCAGATACTCAGTGTGGCACCCCTGCAACTGTCGCCTGCAGCATCTTGTGTTGCAAGAGAAGGCAGTGTCCTCACCGTTGAAGCCAAAAGCATCCTAACAGGCTCGAAAGAGAGTTGGGGAAGTACGACTGAAAACCAGAGTTTTGGTTCATTTTGAGGAAATCCTGAAAAGACTGATCTCAGCCAGGGCTGGCAAGAACACTCTTGGGCACTTGGGGTAACGGAGAAACTGCCACAGCTTTCTAAGGCCACTTGGTAGCTGTGTTACTCTTAAAACAGGCATGCCCCCTGCTGAAGCCATTCCGTTCTGAGAGTCTGTCTGCACACTGCCTCCCTTCCTTGCCCTGCTTTCGGCCTAGGAAGTTGACCTGCACCAACTGCACCTGCCTGGTTTCTGGCCCACTGAAGTCTCTGGGTTGGCTCGGCAGGGGACCGGGGTAGAGGAGCGGGGTTTCCAGCCCTGCCCCCCATTCCAGCCCCTGGCTGGGGCTCTAGGCTGAGGCTGCCTCTTGGGTTCCAGCTTCCTGGCCTGGGTCACTCTCTGCAGAGCCCCTCCCCTTAATCCTTTCAATTTGGTTCCCTTAACCCCACCCCTGCCTCCGTAATTGACAGGCCCTCATCAATTCCTCTGTTCAGCCCTCTGAGCACACCTGTCGCTTGACATCTTCCTGCCAGGACCCTAAACATGCCGTTCTCAGAGCTGCACCCCAGACCCAAAGGACTTCACGACAGCCTTGCTGCCATTGGGTAATTCAAAAGCCACCTGTCGGGTAACTGGGCCAGTTAAGTATACCATGGTTCATGTATTTTACACAATATCCTCTTTTCAAACAAATATTTAGGAAGGAAGTATTTCATGTCCAAGGACTGGCCTAAGAGCCAGATCCACCACAGTGAGCGAAAGCACTCGTAACACGGCCTAAGTCTTGATCGGGAACCAGGCCTGAGCCACACATCCCGTGCAGGAAGGCAGGGCTCCAAGCGCCAGGCAGGGCTCAGGGGCACCGACGCAGCAGGAGTTCCTAGATTCATTACCACGTGAACAAAACCACTGAAAACACAATCTGAACACAGCTAGCCTAGTCATGTGAATAAAAAGCACATGTACTTATGCATGTATTTGGAAAAGACTGAATGAGGTCAGAAAAGGTGACTCCCATGTGCTGATAAGGGACCTGGAATGTTTGGGAGATTGAGAAGGGATCTTTTTCTTCCTTCCTGGTAATACTTTCGTAGTCATTTTTTGCTGTAGGTACATATACAGAGACAACTTTTGGAATTAAATCATCAAATAAATAAAACTGATTATGAAATTGATTTAAATGGGCCATCATCTGATTGGGCCTGAATAGCCTCTTTGGCAAAATAGCATAGGAAAGTCATGAACGAGGCTCAGCTGCTTTCTTCATGTTCACTTTAGTTCCATGATGCCTCTGTGTCTGTCTGACAACATCTCCCCTGGAGTTTGTGACTCTGCTGGTCTTCAATGCCCACGGAGAGGGGTCCTTTGCCATCATCAGGCATGAAAACTTCAAAGCCCTCCGTCCTCAACGTGGTGTCCCTGGGCCGGCGGCATCAGCATCACCGGGAAACCTGTCGATCTGCTGATTCTCGGACACCACCCTGGGCCTGTTCAAAGACTCCAGGGGCAGGTGCTGGCAGTCTGTGTTTACACCAGATCTGTGTTAAAGCTCGCATGATCCAGCCAGGTGATGCTGACTCCAGAGGCACAAGGTTGAGAGCCAGTGTCTAAGGCAACTGTGCCTGTGGGGACACGGGCAGCCCTGGAGGTTCAGAAAGAAATTAGGGAAAATCTCTTCTGCACACTGAAGCAATTAAGACACACAAGGAAGCATTTTAATCTGTGTTTGTTTGTTTAAATGATGTAAAGTCCGTCTCCCCTCCGTCTCCCTATGTAAACTCAACTCAGTCCCAAAGCCTCAGGCAGTGGCCTAGGCTGGCTATCCAGGGGTCAGAGCCCAGGCCAGAGGGTGGGTGAATGTAGAGGTGGCCACAGAGAGCTTAAGTAGATCAGTAAGTAGGGGAAGGTAACAAAAACCAGTAATAAAGGAAAAAAAGGCAGGGCTTGGTGGCCCATGCCTGTAATCCCAGCACTGTGGGAGGTCAAGGTGGGTGGATCACTTGAGGTCAGGAGTTTGAGACCAGTCTGGCCAACATGGTGAAACCCGTCTCTACTGAAAATACAAAAATTAGCTGGGCATGGTGACTGGAGCCTGTAATTCCAGCTACTCGGGAGGCTGAGGCAGGAGAATCACTTGAACCCGGGAAGTGAAAGTTGCAGTGAGCTGAGATGTGCCACTGTAACCCCCAACCTGGGTGATAGTGCAAAAGTCAGTCTCAAAAAAGAAAAAAGAAGAAAAAATACATTATAATAATGTTATTATTTAAATTTAAAAGGCAGGGCAAACCCATCAGATCATTAACAACAGTTATCTCCAGACAGCAGAACTAGAGACAGGGCTGAGAGTGAGGTGGAAGAGATATTCACCCATAATTTCCTTGCTCATGTGGGGTTATTTTGCCCCCAAACACTGTGTATTGTATTTTTAAATCAGCCTCCAAGAACATCAGCCAGGCCAAGTAAAGGAAGCAGGAAAACTGCTGAGGCCTCTGCTTGCCTCCTCCTGCCCACGCAGGCAGGTTCCCAGCTGTGACACTGACCTCAGGACAGCCCAGACCCCTGTACAAACCCCAGCATCCGATCCCGCTACCTGACTTGGACTCCAGCCCTGTCTGGCAGCACGGCTCCCCCTGGGCGGGCCAGCTCCCAGGACAGCTGAGAACACAGGAATCTTCACTCCTCTCCCAGCGTCCCACCTGCCACGGTCTGAATGCTTTTGTCCTCCAAAATTCCTGTGCGAAAATCCTACCCCCAAGGTGATGCTACAGGGGGTGGCTTTGGGAGGTGATTAGGTCCTGAGGGAAGGGTCCTAGTGGTGGGATTAGTGCCCTCACAAAGGAGGCCCCAGAGAGCTCCCGATTTCCTGAGCAGATAAAGACACCATCTGTGACCAAAGGCAACAGGGAGAGGCCAGGAGTGTGACAAGAACCATCGAGGGACACCACTCAATTTCTGTTCCTTAAGGAAGATGGCAGAGGCCGCTGCTGATGGGGAGGACTGGGGTATTACACCTAATTCCGTGAACCCTGCAAAATTCCAGCAATGCCCACAGATAAAAGGGCAGCAAAGGAGAGGTGGTCTATGGGGATGCTTTGAGACCCACCAATGCCATTTTTCAACACCCCAAACATATGAGGCCAGGTAGGGCACTAGGCTCCCAATGCCACCTTCCCGAGGTACCACCAGGCAAAGGGTGGGGGCTGCTCCTTGGTTGTTACAGGCTGCCCTGCCACACTCAACTTGGAAGTAAAACCACACAGCAGAGAGGGCTGCACCTGGCCCCGAATTCTTTCCACCACTCCCCAGGCTGCTGGGCGCTAAGCCTGGAAAGCAGCTGAAGACCTTTCCTCCTCCCTTTGCCGGAGCGCCCTCCAGTCTCCAAGAGGACCTGTGTCACCCTTGACTTAAAATAAACCAGAGCAGGATGAGCGCAGTCCCTGCAGAAGGATGAGCAAGCCGGAAAAACAAAGGTCAGTGTAAAAGTGATATTCAAAAGGAAGGGGGCTGGGCTAGAGGGTCAGGCCAGCATCTTCATCTGAAATAGATTTATTCCTCCCTGGTTGTCTGGTGCCTAGGAAACAATTTAAAAAATGAAATTGGTTTTTAATTGCAAGAAGCAAGAGAAAATGTTGCAAATTTTAACAATCCATATTCTTAGAAAAATTCAATAGGTCACTGACTCAGTGATATAAGTAAGCATTTGCGGATAAGGAAGCGATTTGAAATCTGGACAGACTGCAGAAAGTTAAAAAAATGTAACTGTGGTATACGACAAAAAACTTTTGGTAGGCTATGTGGGAAGAACACAACCACAAAGAAATGCGGGCTTTTACTTAACAGGTCTGATGTTGGCAGCCATGGTGGTATTCTAATTTCTGGCTCTTGGTTAAAAACAAACAAACAAAACAAAAACTGTCCATAGCTGAAAACTGGACTAATGAGGTGACTGGGTCTCTTTCCACTCCAGGTAAGTGCTGGTGCTGGGTGCTCTGTGCTAGGTGCTGTCCAGAGAACGCTCTGGGAGTATTTAGTTCCTAGGCTGCTCTACAGTTCTACAGGGGCAGAAGTTAAGCTGTAACAATGTCTATCTGCAGCAAGGCAACTGCATCGTATCTAGTAGAGATGTCTGGTAGAGATTCTTTTTTTTTTTTTTTAGTAGCAATAGTTTCTTTTTTTAATTTTAATATACTTTAGGAAACAATATACAAAGCTGTGCTTTTCTGCTACTTCCAGATAATAGCAGGAAGTTTCAGTTATACAAACTGAGCGTTTTGTGATGGCTTAGAACAGCAGTCAGCACCAGACTTGAACAGTTAGCTACAACACAAACATCCTTCCAAACGAAATGTCGCAATAGCAAGACAGGTAAACCAGGGTTTATCAAATGACAACCACTTGGCAAGTGACTTAATCATTCTTGTTGAATTTCTTACTTCATTAAATATCTTATACACAATTTCCTGTTAATACGCCTTAAACAAAACCTCCCTTAAGAAATTATTTCAATTAAGTATAAATATTCAACAAGAATAGTTGAATATTTAGATACCAATATCAACTGCATCGTATCTGGTAGAGGGATGTCTGGCTCACTTCCTGTTATAGCTCAGGCAGCTATAACAAAATACCACAAACTGGGTGGCTTAAACAGCAGACATTTATTTCTCACAGTTCTGGAGGCTGTGAAGTCCAAGAACAAGGCACCAACAGATTCCCCGGCTGACGAGGATCCTCCTGCTGGTTTGCAGGCAGCTGTCTTCTCACTGTGTCCTCACATGGTGGGGAGGGAGTGAGCTCTGGTCTCTTCCTCTTCCTAAGGACACTAATCCCATCCCAGTGGCCCTACCCTCATGATCTCATCTAAATGTAATACTTCCCCAAATCCCCACCTTCTAATGCCATCATGTTGGAGGTTCGGGCTTCAACACATGAATGTGATGGGGAGGACGTAATCATTCAGTCCACAACTTCACCTCATAGAAAAGATAACCCACAACATTATACTCTATTGCCTTATAGGATATTGACCAGTTTTGCATCTATTAGCAGATGTATTTCAGCATTTGTGATTGCTTCTCTCTGTGTCTGTTCTTCAAATTTCCTTTGAACTGGCCTTAACTAATTACTAGCTCATCACTAATGAATGAGTTTTCCCTTTATATCCACCTAAGGGTCAAATTTTTTAGCTTCTGCAAATTATCCTTTAGTATCATGACTTTGTGCACATTTGTTGTAGGAAAGGAAAATGGGTGAACACATTGTGATTGCTAGAACCAGGTTTCTGCTGACAAAGAATGGGGAGAAGCATATGGAAAGGGTGAAGAGGAGGAAGACTATGGTATTGCATTTGGATTGGAGGTATCCTTATTTAAAATTTTTTTTTCTAACTCTGCTCACAGAAACACCTACAAGCAATAACATCTAATGCCAATGGGCACAGCTAGAGCCCAGATTTTGATTTCTAAATACCATTGCTCGCTAAAGAAAGAACTATCATTCCTTGAAGATATTATTGTACCAGAGCGAGCATAGAAAGCCAACACCAAGACAAAAGTAGGCCAAATTGCAGGGTCTTTATTGCCGGCGGCCACAGAGGACTCAGGTCTCACTAATGCTTATCTTGACTTCTGTGAACCACTTAAGTAACAATCAGAATGTCTGAAGCCCCTCACCCTCACCTCTGCCCAGGAAGTGGTTTACAGAATGTCCAAAGCCCTTTGCCCCTACCCCTGCCCAGGAGGTGGTTTACAGTCATAAAAGGTCTTGACACCCTCCTTTCGGGGCCACGGGTTGGAGGGACGTCAGTCCTCTGTGGTCGCCGGCAATAAAGACCCTGCAGTTTGGCATACTTTTGTGTTGGTGTTGGCTTTCTATGCTCGCTCTGGTACAACATGATGGCTGGTCGCAGATGAGACTAGGAAAGTCCAGGGAGAATGTGGAACACTCTGCTGTGCCATAAATCAGGAAAGTACTCAAAACTGACCAAAATACGACAAAAGGACCCTGGAGCCATTTCTGGGGTTTCCCACTGGCTGGGTTTGGCATAACTTCAGCACTGAAAAGAACAAAGGCATTATTGAGGTAGAACACACGAAATTTTTAAAAATGAGTAACGGCACTGAAAAAAAGGGCAAAGCTAAAGGAAAGCTCTTCTTTATAGTAAAATATCAGATAATAAGTGTATAATAAATGATCCAGACAAGGATTATCAATGGCAAAAATTGGTGGGGAAACAGGGTATTCATACAATCTCCCTGTATCAACGTGCAGATTACTTATTAATTACAGAGGGGAAATATCTGCCTTTAAAATGGAGACATGTGGTGACTATCACTGTGAGCAGTTCGTTAAATTTAGCATCGCCCACACCAGGATAAACTGGCAGTATGTGCTCCTGATAGGACACGCCAATGACACATCATGGCCAATGCCATATTCTTGCCAAAAACAGACAATGTGCACCTAACTCTGAAGAAACAATTATGAGTGAATACAAAATCAAAACAACACACAAAGAACTCTGGCAGATCAATAAGAAAAGAAATCCCTTCTTATCGGACATTCTCCTACCATCATGGCCTAATCTATGTCCCAGCTTTCGCCAGCAACACCTGCCCCCATCTGTATTTCCAGCAGGGACCAGACTTTAGAGCTCCATTCTCTTCTTGTCTTGCCATGGAGACCTCTTCACTTAGAGGTCTCATTTCAGTCATGACAGCCAGCTCAGAACCAATGTTCCTCCCGTTTTTTCTTTTTTTTTTTTTTTTTTTTTTTTTGAGATACAGTCTCCCTCTTTTGCCCATGCTGGAGTGCAGTGGCGCAATATCGGCTCACTGCTACCTCCGCCTCCTGGGTTCAAGTGATTTTCCTGCCTTACCCTCCCAAGTAGCTGGGACTACAGGCACGCACCACCACACCTGGCTAGTGTTTTTCGCTTTTGTTTTTGTTTTTAAGCAGAGACAGGGTTTCACCATATTGGCCAGGCTTGTCTCAAACTCCTGATCTCATGATCTGCCCGCCTCAGCCTCCCAAAGTGCTGGGATTACGGGGGTGAGCCACCGTGCCCGGCCCCTCTTCTTTGACTTACATGCCCTTTGCAGTTGGTGTTAGCCCCTGTCCCAAAGCCCAAAGCCATCCTAGACCCCAGCTCTCCTCCATGTCCCACATCACCACCACCGCCACCTGTGCTTCCAGCCACACAGCTCCTGGCCTTCCTGTGCTGAGCCCCCTGCTAAGCCCCCAGGATCTTCTCACCCCTGTCACCACTCATGCAGCCTCACGCTACTGAAATGCATTTTCTTCCATTGTGCTTAGACCCTTGATGACCTGGTCCCCATCCTCCCCTCATCTCTCCTAGGCACACGCCATCCTACGTGTCCACGCACACTGTCCCGAAGACTCGCCATTCCTGAGAACTGCCTGGCTCCCTCTCAGCCCCATGGCCTTGCGATGTATTGCCTGAGGTGGCCTGCCTCAGACTTTTCCAGCTGACACCCCCTTCCTGCAAGACCTCATCCTAAACTTCAGGCTAGATGGAGTACTCTCGTCCCACAGCACCGAGCTTTGGCAGACAGATGATGCTGGGTGTCGTGTTTGTTTCTCTGGCCCGTGAGCTGCAGAATTACTTAAGGATAGGGCTGCCATATACTTCTGTATCCTTGGCCCCTGACATGGCAGCTGGCCCATCAGAGGAAATGAATGATGAGACATGATCACTGAATGCCTTACAAAGCCCTTTCACACTCTTGCTGGGGTTTCAAAGGCTGGAATCCTCCACGGAGGTGATGTCTCATGCTCTGAAACCTGAGGCGGTGAAAACATGTTAGCACGGCCCATGGCCCTTTCTGAGTTTGAAGAGCTCTCCACTCTATTCATCTTGACTGGAAAGTGGGGTGCACAGACCATTCCCACCATGGGGGATGAAACTGCCAGACTGTTTTTTCCAGCTTCCCTGGCCCCTCGCCCATCAGATCCACCCAGGCTGGCTTTGAAGGGACAAGGAGGTCTCCCTTCGGTGACAGCAACAGCCATTTCCCAACCAGAAGCAACATACAGCGTGGCCTGGAGCATTTCCTCCAGCTTCCAGGCCCTGAGTGGAATTCTCAACAACCCCTGACAATCGTGGGAGCTTCCCCTCCTTCCCACAACACACAAGTGCCTGTTCTTCCTGGCTCGGCTGCAGGCAGCTTCTTTGCTTGCAACTGAGAACTTGACTGATGAAACATAGAATCTTTGGAGGCCAAGAAATCTAAAAGGGGTCAGTGCTAAACCTGGCCAAGGCCGCCGTTCCAAATGAAGTGTGATTATGAAGAGGCAAGCACAGCTTTCATGTCTGTCCTTTAAAAAATGTCCAGAGGAGGTCACAACGCACTTGCCAATGTTGACATAAGTGCCGTCCTCTCGATGACTGTCATGGGCTGAAGGCCGCATGCTCGGATACCCGCTCACAAGACGCTCACACTCATTTAGTCTCACCTTGTTACACGGATACTCTAACAGCTCTCAGAAACACTTCCTGGCGTTTCTTTAACTCTACAGGTAAAGTGCAAGGTCATCTACGTGTGTCTACTTTCATGATTAACTATCACTGAGACACAGGACTGTGTCTCTTCCACTGGTGGGTCTGCCAGCCTCGTGCCACCCCCAGTCTTCGGGAGCAGGACGGAGTGTGAGGCTTCAGGCGAAGCGGTGACAAGGGCGGCTTTCTGGTGCAGATTCATATTCAAAACCTTCAGCCAGCATCAGAGCTTGATCTACCCGTACCAAATTCTGAATGAGTGGGTAAATGCATTGAGTGTCCCAAATGCATAGCGTGTGCCCTCACAGCGATCAGCCCTTCCCTGGCACCCCTTGGGAGCAGGACATGGTTTCTGATCATTTCCATCCTGATGCATCGCACTGGGAGCCCGGGCTGCCTGGCAGTGGTGCTCTGGTCACGGCTCTGGGAGGGAAGGGGAAAGCCCGCTCTTACCTGCCTGTGCAGCTGTGATTAGGGCTGTGTTCCCCTCGCTGTCCTGCCAGTTGACGTCAACGTGGGGGCACTCTGCTAAGGCCACCACGGTATCCACAAAGCCGTGGTAGCAGGCGACAATAAGGCCGGTCTAGAAATGAAGAGGGGAAGTGGGTCAGAGGGGCAGAGCCAGAGCATGGCGGTCAGCACCAGGGACCTCGAGGGGCACCCACTACCCTCCAGGGGGCTGGACAGGCAGTGACGGGGACCCGGAGTCCCAATTCTCAGAGATGGTTTAGAGAGAGCCAGCCACTCGTTCCTTCTCAAATGTGTGTTGAGGACTGACTGGAGTGAGGGCCTAGGCATGGAAACATTGGTGGACTATCAAGATCTCAGCCCTCCCAGGGCGTGCTTTCCCCAGAGAAGGAAACGCACCAACTACAGGGCTTATAGGGAAATAAACATAGAGAAAGGTGCGTGCGCGATGTGGGGCAGCTCTCTAGGGAATAGGGTGGTCAGGCTGGGCTTGCCAGAGGTGACGCTGGGGCCCATGTGTGAAAGAGGCAAGGCAATGGGCCACAGGGATACAGAGAGAGGGAAACGCCCCAGTGGGGGAAATAGCTCGAGCAAGGGCCCCAAGTCAGGACCATGCCTGCTTCATCCAGGGAGTAGCCCAGCGGCCAGCGGGGTTAGAACAGATGAATGAGTGAGAAGTGGAGTGACCCGGGTCCAGGAGGCAACATGGGGCCTCAGAAGCCGTGGACAGGGCCCTGGGGACCCCGTGAGTAGGGGGAGCATGCTAAGCGGTCCGCTGCCAATCATCTACATCCACTCCGGCTGCTGGGCGGGAAACAGGCTCTGGAAGAACAGGGTGGAGATCGGGGGCTGGTGGGAGGCCACTGTGGGGCCAGGCAGGTGACAATGGTGTCACATCAGGGTAGGGGCAGCAGTGGGGAGGCGAATTTGGATTCTGGAAAGGAAGATTTGCTGTTAGAATGGAGGTGAGGTTGGATAGAAAAAGAGTCCAGGATAACCCCAAAGTTTCAGCTGTAGCAGCTGAGAGGATGCAGTTCCATCAAATGAGAGGGACAGGACATGGGACAGAGCCGTTGTGGGGACAGATGGCGTGCAGACCTCAGTGCACTGTATGAGACTGTCTCTGGACAACCCAGTGGAGACGTCAGGCAGAGATAGATAGCACGTGAAGTCATGGAGAGAGAAGCAAGCTGGATAGATACACTGAGGGTTGACTTTGGAGATCTAGTAATCACACTAGATCTTAGCCAAAAGGCCGAGAAGCAATGGAGATCTAGTAATTAACTATCACCAAATGTTAAAATCCTAGCTCCCAGTGGGGTGGCGCTAGGAAGTGGGGCTTTGGTGGGGTGATTAGATCACAAGGGTGGAGCCCCATAAATGAAATCAGTGTCCCATAAAAGGGACCTCAAGAGCGCTCTTGTGCCTTTTTCCCCCATGTGAGGACACACAGAGAAGTCTGCAGTCTGCACCCTGGAAGAGGACCCGGGCCGAGTCCCACCATGCTGGTGCCCTGATCTTGGGCTTCCAGCCTCCAGAACTGTGAGAGATAAATTTCCATTCTGTATAAGATCTTGGACTTCCAACTCCCCGAACTGTGAGGAATCACCTTCCATTCTGAGTAAGTGCCCAGTCTACGGTGTTTCATTGCAGCAGCCCAAGCTGATGAAGAGACTTCGTAACAAAGGAAAAGAGTGCAGCCTCAGGTTCACCGCCGCACACATGCAGATACGGTGAGATGCTAAAATCAACCCAGGCTAGCAGCTAATCAATTTTCATTCTTGGCACCGCCAGCGACACCACCACTGCATGCGGGGCACAGAGTTTACATTGAGAGCAACTCCACAGCAGCTCAGCCCAATTTCTACCAGATTTTTTGTTTGTTTGTTTTTGAGACAGAGTTTTGCTCTTGTTGCCCAGACTGGAGTGCAATGATGCGATCTCAGCTCACTGCAATCTCTGCCTCCTGGGTTCAAGCAATTCTCTTGCCTCAGTCTCTCAAGCAGCTGGGATTACAGGCATGTGCCACCATGCCTGGCTAATTTTGTATTTTTTGTAGAGACAGAGTTTCATCATGTTGGTCAGACTGGTTTCACACTCCTAACCTCAGGTGATCCACCCACCTCGGTCTCCCAAAGTGCTGGGATCACAGGCGTGAGCCACTGCATCAGCCAATTTTTAATAGGAATATAATTTTTCATGAAACAACGAGAGGGCTCAAGTAGCCCTGCCCACTTAATAAGGCGGCTAGTTGCCTCCCCACAGGACTATTAAATCACAAATATTAACCTCTTTAAAGTTCTACAGAATACCGTTGATTTTCTAACCCTGACATCCATACCACGGCATAATCAACTCAATAACTCTTGACTGTGGTAAAGGCTCTCTAATATGCTCTAGCTTATGCATCCTTTGAAATAGGTCATTCCAGCTATACAGTGAAATGTTTCACAATAATTTTAAAGAGAAAAGAGTAGGCTGCAGGCAGGCTCTACTTAGAAGCCGCTGAGGTTTTCGGCTTCTCTGGGAATGGAGAGTTTGCTGCCACCTCCAACCTCCCAGCTAACCTATCCGCCTGCTTTCACATCAATGCACCAGAAAACTTGTAAATCCACCCAGGGAGTGCCCAAAAATCATTTTTAACTTCTTTGGATGGAGATATTGCTCTAGTATTCTGCAGTTTCCTGACTTATGAATAAAATACATAAGCTAGAACATAATGTAACATCTTCCTTTGCATATAATTACACAAGTAGCTCATATTTATTGCAGAAAAAAATCCAAAAATCAAAGAAAAAATGTTATAGACCAGACACACACACGCACACGTTTTTCTTTAAATGAAAACAGGACCATTTGCTATATGTCTTAGGAATGTATCACCAATATCTTCACATCCATAAGAGTAACTCTGTGTGAAAATTTCTGGTAGATACAGAGTATTCTATTCTATGTGGGGTAGAATTGTCATTATTTAACAAATCCCTATTCTTGGACACTGGGATGATCTGTTTCTCCCTTTCTTATGAGTAAAACTGGCAATGAAAACCCCTAGAGCTAAGGCTTTGTGTATTTTGTTTCTTGTTTTCTCAGGAGACATTATAAGAAGCAGTATTTCTGGATTAAAGGAAATAGGTATTTTGAAAGCTTTTAGCATATATGGCAAACCTGGGCTTCAGGAAGGGTCCCAGATGGCATCTGCCTCTGCCAGCCCTGACATCCAACCTACACTTAAAGGGCTTGGGTTAAAAGGAATGTCTTCCCTCGGTGGGTACAGGAGGGATGCTCTCAGGGCTCCGGAAGTATCTGGCTCCTGAATTAGGTCTCTTTCAGGAATACCCTCCCCTCCCCTCCTCTCACCCCAACCGGTGAAGGATTCTGCTCTGGACACATAGCCTCTCCTTCTCACCCCCACACTCCTCCAGATTCCTAAGGTAAAACTTCTCAAAATGTGCAGCAGGCACCTGCTGACAGCAACCTCAGGAAGGCTGATACAATATTTAGAACATCACTTTTTTTTTTTGAGACAGAGTTTTGCTCTGTTGCCCAGGCTGGTGTGCAGTGGTGCCATCTTGGCTCACTGCAACCTCCGTCTCCAGGTTCAAGTGATTCTCCTGCCTCAGCCTCCAGAGTAGCTGGGACTACAGGCACCCCCACTACCAAGATCAGCTAATTTTTGTATTTTTAGTAGAGACAGGGTTTCACCATGTTGGCCAGGCTGATCTCGTACTCCTGACCTCGAATAATACACCCACCTCAGCCTCCCAAAGTTCTGGTATTATAGGTGTGAGCCATGGCGCCTGGCCAGAACATCACTTAGTATTTTCACAAATTAAATGAGGGAGGCAGGTCGGGTGTGGCGGCTCACATCTATAATTCCAGTACTTTGGGAGGCCAAGATGGGAGGATCACTTGAGGCCAGGAGTTTGAAACCAGCTTGAGCAAGACAGTGAGACCACCTCTCTACAAAAAAAAATCTTTTTTTAATTAGCCAGACATGGTAGCACATATCTGTAGTCCCAGCCACTCAGCAGGCTGAGATGGGAGGATTGTTCGTGCCAGGGAGGGCAAGGCTGCAGTGAGCTGAGATCACGCACTGAACTCCAGCCTGGGTGACAAAGCAAGACCCTGTCTCAAAAAAAAGTTGGGAGCGGGGGGAGGTTATCATTATCTAAGTGCATTAAAGCTCTCAACACATACACATGCACACACAGGAAACTGCATAGAAAACATCTAGGAAAACCACACCAAAGTGTTAAGAACAGAAGGAAGATGAATGGGAGGCGTGTGATGATTAATTTCACGCATCGACTTGGCTAGGCCACAGTACCTAGATATTTGGTTAAACATTATTCTAGATATTTCTGTGAAGGTATTCTTTAAATGAGACTGATATTTAAATCAACAGACTTTGAGCAGAGTAGATGCCCTCTGTTATGTGAGTGGGCCTCATCCAATCAGCTGAAGACCTTAAGAGAAAAAAGGCTGGCCTCCCCACACGCTGGAAAGAAGAAACTTGACCAGCGGGGCTGTCTTCAGAGTCAAAGTGCAACTCTTCCCCAGATCTCCAGGTTTTGAACTTGCCAGCCCCTACAATCATGCACACCAATTCATTAAAACAAATCTCTTTCTCTACGTATATGTATAAACACACACACACACACACACACACACACACACACACACACACACAC